CCACACATACACAGCACCTACACACATACAGCACCCACACACATACACACATACAGCACCCACAGACATACAGCACCCACAGACATACACAGCACCTACACACATACAGCACCCACACACATACACAGCACTTACACACATACAGCACCCACAGACATACACAGCACCTACACACATACAGCACCCACAGACATAAACAGCACCTAAACACATACACAGCACCCACACAAATACAGCACCCACAGACATACACAGCACCCACACACATACAACACCCACACACATACACAGCACCAACACACACACAGCACCCACACACACACACAGCACCCACACACACACACAGCACCCACACACACACAGCACCCACACACACAGCACCCTCACAAACACACACAGCACCCTTACACACAGCACACAAACAGCAACCTCACACACAGCACACAAACAGCACCCTCACACACACAGCACACTAACAGTACCCTCACAAACACAAACAGCACCCTCGCACACAGTACATTAACAGCACCCTCACAAGCGCACACACACATACAAACAGCACCCTCACACACAGTACATTAACAGCACCCTCACAAGTGCGCACACACAAATACCCTCACCCACATAGCACACTACCAGCACCCTCACACACACATCACACTAACAGCACCCTCACATAGCACACACACACACAGCAGTGTGTGTGTGTGTGTGTATATATATATATATATATATATATATATATATATATATTGATTGATTATAGACCAATAGGCGGTCGTTTCATAAGGTTTGTTCCTCATAGATATTCTATTATAGTATATTATAGTATATACAGACATAATTATTTGTTCAGCTATAGATTTTTCTCCAGATCTGTACCTTAACATGTAGCATTTATTTAAATATTGCTTAATTCATTAGTTGTAAGATTCTTTAATTAACCTGGATTCAAGGTTTATATTTGTACTTACAACACAAGTTTATAATATTTATTATACCACATCATGGTGATTCTCGTGTCCATCAGCTTTATGTCTTTTCATAGTTGTATAACACTTACTCACTTTAAATGACACCCTTAAAGACTTATGGATACTAGTAATTGCCCCATGGGGTTAGTTATAATACAACGGATCTATTCTTCCATCTTGTTAGTTCTCTCTCACTAGAATTGCTCACTTCTTTATCACAGCATTCGACACTGAATGGTAACTAACACATGTTGTTATGGCAACCTATCAACACTCCGCTAGACGCCCTGACGTATTGACGTCGGGGAGGCGGTCCTAATTCACTTCCGGGTTTCGGAGAGGGGGACACACAACGCTAAAGTTTGGTAAGTGCACTTACACTTTATTTATATAAACCCACTAATTTGCTAGTTTTATTAACCTTGAAAAAGACCTGTAGAGGTCGAAACGTTGGTTTTTCTTTTGCACATGATTTAAAATAAAACGGATTTTTTGCACAAGTCCTGAGAGTGCATCTTGGAATATTCTTCAGTTATATATACACATATGTATACATACATACATATATATATACGCGGCGTGTGCTTGTGCTTTAGGGTGCACACCCTAATGCAATAGGCTGCGCACGTCTATGACTATACCTAATTGACCCCCTAGTCACTCCCAAATGCCCCTAAGCCCCCCATATTACCTATTGTTTAATCTTTATTTTGTGCCCGGACCTATATTCTGGGCTCCGCCATCTTTGTGTAGGTAGATGAAGTCCCTGTGGAACACGTCATCTGCCCACACTAGATAGCACTGTGAGATTCCTGCACATACCCAGTTAAACACTTGGGCATGCGAACGGGAATTTCATCTATTCATTCGTCAGAAAGCTGAATGAATGAATAGAAATGTCAGACGAACAAACACCGAATATCAGTGTTCGTTCAGTTTATTACAAGAAGTGAGTTGCCGGCGCGCAGCTCCATCCTCCATCCATCCAAGATAGAAGCGGCAGGGAGCAGTGCTCCCCGCCACTTCCTAAGCCCCCCCAGGTCACCCCTCACTCTATGGGGGTCAATATGACCCCCATAATAGCATAAGGGAAAATAGCATAAAGGAAAATGGGGGGGGCCTATTGTCCTCCCTCTGGCCCCCACCCCTGAGCGGTGGGTGGGGGCCCTAAATGATAATGGGGGGGCCCTATTGTCCTCCCCCCCCAGCCCCCACCCCTGAGGTTGTTTTCTTTATAAATTGGGATACATGATAGTCAATTGAGCCTTTAATGAAGAGACATGGTGGTTTTGAGATTTCAGTGAATAAATATAATTATATAGGGTCTGCTAATTTGTATAATGTCTTCATAAATTGTGCCAGATAACACAGACAGTATTTATTATGAGTAATTAAATGGTTAAGGAAAGACAAATGCCCTTATTATGTATTAATCTGAGTAGTTGCTGACAGTATTAAAAATGGTTAACAGACACAGTCTATTAATAAATGGAATATAATTTAATTGGTGTGTGCTAAATACTATTTGAAGCATGACTGCTCCTGCTTTTAGAACTGGTTATGGAGGAAGGAATTTGAAAATGTAGTATTTCGGTTTGAAACACAGCCTATACAGAGATACTTGCACTTTTGTGCTGGGGTCTAGTCGCACCTCTAGCACACGTGACTTAGGCAGCCTAGAACCGTATATATGCTGGCAATAGACGTTTACTATTGGAGGTAGTTCTGAGAGAGTGTATGCAAGGGGAAGCTTCAGTGTCCCCTACCAAACTCACACTGTTGCCCCTGCCTCCCTACATTTTTTTTTTAACATTGCTATGTTTTGGTTTTTTTTGTATTCCCTTCTCTTCCTTGTTCCCCTCCACTGCTTCCCTCGCTCTCCTCCCTGGCTCGGAGCATGCACATGCTCTCTGAGCTCGTGATAACATCTCTATTAAGCATTTGATTGGTCCATAGAGGGGAAAGGAGTGATGCAGCGTGATGGTGATGTCAGGACAGCGTGTGGAAACACTCGAAGAGAACTTCCCCTTGGAGCTGAATTCAATCTAAGTTTTTACTCCTTTAACAGGGATGGACATACTTAGTAGTGCCTAATAGGGCAGTGTAAATTAAAATAATACATAGTACAAAATTGTTATAGTATTAATAGCATTCAAAATAGTAGGCACTACTACTAATGGGCTTTATAAAGCATTGGTAATGCATTAAATATGCAAAAACTTAAATAAACCTAAAATTAAATTCCTGTAGCTGCTGCTCACCTCCAAAATTCCTGTAGCTGCCACTTAACCTCATGCATGCAGCAGTTGTGGGAGCCTATCCCAGGCCTGGAAGATTTTCCACCAATTAGTGACCTCTTGTTCTGGTATGTGGGGTCTGATCATATCCCATAATCTTTTTCTATCTGAGCTTTATGGGCTTAATGTAAACAAACAATAGCAAGCGGTGTGCATAAAACTTCTGTTCATTGCTCATACTTTCAAAACCTTTTTCTTCAGCGATAATATTCTGATATTATTTATTATTATTATTATTGTTGGCATTTATATAGCGCTAACAAAATTCTAGGATGGTGAGTGAAATGGAAAAATCAATTAAAGTATTGATTATTTCTTTGTGTATCTGCCCCTGGCCAAATCAATGAAACAATGCGTGCACGCTCCCTGAAGTAATTCACACCAGACACAGGTTCCAGGTTGTTGAATAACTTGAGGAATGTTTATTCAGAGGGGACGGCAGGTCCCTTTTAAAGCAAAATTACATCATAAGCATTGTCAGAGATAACATGGAATAATACATCAATAATTGGTTAGGTGTTAAGTGGTTGCTTCAATGCTCTGCCTACTGTAGGTGATGTCACCGGGGCCATGAGGGTCTCCCACGGTTTCCCGGCGCCATCTTGGTGCACGAGGTAGTTAGTCGATGTTAGGAAGGAGAAAGGGAAGGGGGGGGGGGAAAGGAGCTAGAAGCTTCTAGCAGCCATCTTAATTATAATGTGTGTGCTTAGCTATATATATATAGATATATATCGTGAAATGAGTAAATAGACATTTTTCACTAACTAGGAAATATGTGTAGACCTTATTTCCACAACAGTCCCCCCTAAAATGGCTATTTACCATAACAACTGCTACTGTCCCTAATATGTCCCTAGTTGCCTGCAACCTATCTGCCTTAACTAGCATCGAACACTTCACTCCGCGGGTAACCCGCAGTGGCTAGTCCACTACATCTCCACACGTGAGACTCGCCAGTTAAGACAGACGCTTTCCCTATACTGTCCCTACAGGAAAGCAGTTGTTTGTTTGAACTGATGTGATTGAAGGGGTGTATGTGGAGTATCATCTTCGAGGTCTGTGATGTCTTGGTGTATGAAAGTAGGGGTCACGTCATCTATAGTCTTGTCCACCGCTTTCTGTAGATACCTCTGTATGCAGGGGAATATGCAACAGGTCAGAAATAAGAAAATGACGATCATTATGAGAACAGCTGTCCCCACCTGGAAGAGGGTCCTTTGCCAACCATTCATCCATCCAAACCATCTGTCCCAAGTGTCGATGACTCCTGAATTTTTCTTTAGCTCGTCTGCAAGACTATCTAGCTTCTCTATGGCCATAGTCACCTTACCATTGGGCCCAGTGTTGTCTGGAATGTATGTGCAGCATGTCATGGTCTCAGGGAGGATTTTACATACACCCCCTTTCTCAGCTAAAATCATATCTAGGGCCATTCTGTTCTGAAATGTCATTTGGGTAGTGGCTTGTAATTGCTCTGCCAGGCCCTGTAGGGCATCCCTAGTGTAGTTGACAAAACGCTGTTGATTATAGTAAATGTAGTTAATCCAATTGACATTTTTGTTAGCAGTTATCATTGGAATTAGGGACTCAAATCCTGCAGCCACTTCATCTCTTGCTTTGAATTCGTTAGGCACCCCCTTTGGCACACCTATGGCATCAATATACACATGGGGGTCGAAACTCCCTCGAATAGGAGTCTCTCGTTTGGTTCTAGAGTGTACATGTGTGAGGTTTAACGTGTTATGGTCACCATCTGGAATGATATGGATAGGCATTATGACTTTAGTTAGGGCACACTCCCCCCACCATTGCCCAATTAATTGGGACCTCAATTGTTTATCCCCACATAACCAATAGATATCGCCGATTGTCTTTGTGTGGTTCATTAGCAGTGATACGGGTGGATTATGGTAAGTTGAGCAATATCCTGATGGGAATTTACCCAGATACAAACCGGTGTTTTTAGATATTGTATAACATGTGTAATTACCTGGGTAGATGGTGACTCCATCAGGTGGTTTTACATGTCCGTGAGTGATCGGGTAAATTCTCTTCCACGATTCACATGTCGAGGAATTGGTGACGGACTGTGTGTAAAGGCTCAGAACACATGATTCTACTTCAGGAGGCAAATTCAGAGGAACTGTGCCCAGATGGGGCCTGGCTCCCCCACACATGTAACAATTGGTCTTATTGTGTGAGTTGGCATTATACCTCATCCATTCTAGCCATAAATTAGTGTCTGAAAAACCAGTTTCCACTGCCATAGTGTCTTCAAAGGTGGGGTTGGCTATAGCTACCATGTCATGTAGGGTCTTAATATGTGGTTTTAACGGGTTAACGATCATGTGAGTGGTCCCCACCCAGTCTGGGGAGGTGAGCATGTCTTGTAGGTAGAATGTCCCCAGTGCATTGTGTGAGCCACCTCCCTTCCAGTACATCCCCATCACATATTCCCCCGCAGCTTTCCATGAACTACAGTGGTGTCCCCAAGCTCCTCCAGTCACACAAATGTATGGGTCCTTTTTGTTAGGTATGTCCTTGTATATGGCTGCATGTTGTCTCTGTGGGAATGTACAGGTAACTATGTCACAGTAATCAAAGGTGTATGTAGCTACATCAGTATCAGAAGAATTGTACCAGAAAGTGTAAACATGATTATCTTTGGTTATGGCCACTTGTTGGGCCCAGGCAAAATGCAACAATATAAGAAAACACGAGACACATAATAAATTCATGTTTCAACAAGATCAGCTTCTTCTGGAGCAGGCACTTTTTTGCAATGTGAAGCGTGTATCCAGGAACTTTTTCCAGCTAGTTTAACTGACGTTGCTGTAATCAGGAGCACTTGATAAGGACCATCAAATCTCGGTTCTAGGGTGTGTTTCCTGAGGAACTTCTTAACCATAACCCAATCACCCGGAAGCAGCTTGTGTGTACCTGTATTCGACTCAGGATCTGGAATAGAAGAAAACACTTGGGCATGTATCTTGGTCAAGGCATGTGAAAGGGCAGTCACATAGTCTACCATAGCGTCTGACTGAATCTGAAGCTGTTGGGGAAAGTAGCAACCTAACCTGGGTGTTGTACCAAACAAAATCTCATAAGGTGACAAACTGTATTTTCCTCTGGGAGTGTACCTTACACTGAATAACGCTAGTGGAAGACTCTCGGGCCAGGGCATGTTAGTTTCTTGTGACATTTTAAGCATTCTGGCTTTCAAAGTGCCATTCATGCGCTCTACCTTACCACTACTCTGTGGGTGATATGGTGTGTGGAATGCAAGGGTCACCCCCAGTGCTGACCAGACTTCCCGTGTTAGCGAGGCAGTGAAGGAGGTCCCTTGGTCACTTTCAATTACTTCTGGGACCCCATAGCGGCAAACAATTTCTGTCAAGAGATACTTGGCTGTAGTCCTCGCGGTGAGATTAGTCACTGGGAAGGCCTCTGGCCATCCTGAAAACATGTCCACTATGACCAATGCATATTCATAACGTCCACTCTTTGGCATCTGAATGTGATCAATCTGGATCCTCTGGAAGGGATATTGCGGCTTGGCTAGGTGATTAGGTGCAGTCTTTATAATCTTTCCAGGATTGCATTTAGCACATATAGTACATGACTTACAGTAATTCTGTGTTAAGGTGGTGATGCCTGGTGCTTCGAAATATTTGTCAATCAGTGAATTCATCAGGAGTTTTGACAGGTGAGCTGGCCCATGGGCCCATTGGACCACCGCTGGGTACATACTTCTGGGTAGGCAGAACTTGAGATTAATGGTGTAAACATCATCACGGCGTACAGCTCCTTTGTTCTTCCAACCTTGTTTCTCTTGGGGAGTAGCAGCAGCTTGCTGTTCCTTCAGAAGCCTGAGGTCTGTAGGCAATGTTTGCATAGTATAGATAGGTAGTGTATCTGTGGCCACTCTTCTGTCCACTTCCCATCTTTGCCATGCTGCTTCTTTAGCTGCTTGATCAGCTAGGTGATTGCCACGTGCTTCTTCTGTGTCTAGTCTTCCATGGGCTTTTACCTTCAGTACTGCCACCTCAGCTGGAAGTTCCAATGCGTCCATCAGCTCTGCAATGGCTGCCCCATGCTTTACTGGGGTACCAGTGGCCGTAAGAAATCCTCTGGTCAAAATCATGTGCTACTCCCAAGGCATATCTTGAATCCGTGTAAATGTTGACACGCAACCCTTCAGACAATTTGCAAGCCACAGTTAGGGCTGTCAATTCAGCTTCTTGAGCAGACTTAGTTGGTTGTAGGGCAGCTGCTTGTAACACTTGACATTCTGTGGTAACTGCATACCCAGTGTGATATTGCCCTTGTTCATCAGCAAATCTTGACCCATCCACAAATAATGTTTGGTCCGGGTTGAGTAGTGCAGCTTCATAGACAGTTGGTAGATGTGTAGTTTCCATTTTCATTTGTTCAAAGCAATCATGAGGGATATCGTGGTCACAGTCTGTGGTGAGTGGATCCTCACAGGCTTCTGTATGGTACCTGGGGTACCCAGTTGTACAGTAATTAATAGTCTTTTTGTTGATTCTCGTAGAAGTCAGTTGTTCTGGGGTCATTTGACTCCAAGTTTTGGCCATCGGGCCTAGGTCTTTCCACGAGATGTTGGGGGGTCTGGTGAGAGATATGTGTGGGATCGATGTTTCCCAATGGTGATAGAGATGTGTCACACTCTCTGGGAGGTGGACCAAGATAAGCATGGTACCTGTGAGGTCCCAAAACAAGTCAGTCAGGGTAATTTGGATTTCTTTGAGTTGGAATACTTCTGCCTCGTAATCCATATCAGGGCCTGGTTCATCCCTAACCCACAAAGTGCAATGAAGTAGGGCCATTGATTGTTCATCATGTGGAGGTGCAAGTGCAGGTAGTTGCAGATCTGTTAGAACTTCCGGGTTGATATCCAGGCTGTACCAGTGGTACACAACTCCCCCCTTGGGAAGTGGCAGAAGAGTGGCCGGGTTCATGGTTAGGCATCTCTGAAGTTTTATGTTGTCAGGTAAAAGCAATGAGGTTTGCAGGCGGAGGTGGCGTTGGGAGGAAAGGTGCTTGGGTTGAACTTGTTGCAGGATAGCAGTAATGTCATGGGGGGCCAACACTGTAAGGTGATGGCCAAATACAAAGTCATTAGTCTTGTCCAGGAGGGCACTGGCGGCAAACACAGCACGGAGGCAAGAGGGGCTGCCCCTTGCAACAGGGTCAAGCATACAGGAAAAATAGCCAATGGGCCGTTGTCTGGACCCATGTTTCTGAGTAAGGACTCCGGACGCATGTCCTGATTTTTCAGAGACAAACAAATTGAAAGAGAGTTGATAGTTGGGTAGGCCCAAGGCAGGAGCAGAGGCAATAGCTCTTTTCAGAGTATGGAAACAGTCAATAGTTTCTTCAGTGAGGTGAAAGGGCTCACTTCGAAGTGCATCATAGAGAGGTTGCATGAGTTTGGATGCTTCAGGTATCCAAGACCTGCAGTATGTGATAAGACCCAAGAAAGCATGAAGAGAGTGATGGGTTGCAGGTAATGGGAGTTGCAGGATAGCTTGCACCCGTTGTGAGGTTAGATGTTTGGTGCCATGGGAAAGGCAGTGTCCCAAGAAGACCACAGAGGGCCGGCACCATTGTAGCTTTGATTTTGAGGCCTTGCACCCGGCAGCAGCGAGGAAACATAAGAGATCTTCTGAGTCACGTTCTGCAATTAGCAAATTAGGAGCACAGAGTAGAAGGTCATCAACATATTGTAGTAAAACAACATCGAGATGAGATGATGAGGGATCCAGAACCAGAGACATGGCATGAGCAAACTGTGTTGGGGAGTTCTGCGCTCCCTGGGGCATAACAGTCCAAGTATATTGTTGTCCTTCATGTGTAAAGGCGAAGAGAAAACGGCAGGAGGGATCAAGGGGAACACTGAAAAAGGCATTAGCCAGATCCACAACAGTAAAAATTGTTGAAGTTGGAGGCACTTGGGACAAAAGGGTATGAGGGTTTGGAACAATAGCAGTGTCCTTTATGGTTACCTCGTTAACAGCACGGAGGTCCTGTACCATACGGTATTGGTCGGGTTGGCCCTTAACAGTTCGCTTTTTAACAGGGAAGAGAGGGGTGTTGCATGGAGATGTACACTTGGTGAGGGCACCTTTTGTAAGCAGGGTCTCAACTTGTTTGGTGATGGCTTCAGCTTGTGCTGGCTTCAGAGGATACTGAGGTCTACGAGGAGGGAGTGCACCAGGCAGGAGCTGGACCAGGACTGGGGGTACATGTAAGCGTCCAATATCATCCGGGCCTGTGGACCAAAGTTCTTGGGGGATACGATCCAGGGCACTGGGGGTGTGTGTGACCCGTGCATTCCCTGTATTGTCAGTTAGATTCAACAAAATTGGGAGTGAGCAGAGTACAGAAGTATCCTTCTGTGATAAGGGGGTTGTCAACTCAACCTGTCCATCTGCAATAAAGGTAATGGAAGCCTGGAGCCGAGAGAGAACATCGGCACCTAGGAGGTTAATGGGGCAGGTGGAGGAAACAACAAAACGGGACAGGATATGTGAGCCTACATGTAAGAGCTTGGTGAGGGGGTTACTGCGTGGTGTACCATCCACCCCAACACAGGAGACATCAGTGTCAGATAGGAAGGAAGGGTCTGGCAGGTCTTGTTCCCTAAGGACACTACGGGCTGCACCTGTGTCAACTAAGAAGGTGGTTGGGTGATCCTCCACGGGGAGAACTACAGTAGCTAAAGGTCCTCCTCCATCCCCCGCAGACACTGCCATGGCAGGGGTTGCTGACACAGGCTT